ACTCGTACTCATCATCTTGGTTGCCCGCTCCGTCCGGCAACGACGACGGTCCGGCCTCGCCGGCATTCGTCGATGCCGACGTCTTGCGTGGCGTCGTAAACTCGCCAATGGGCGGGGGCGGAATGTCCTTAGTAAGCTCTCCTTCCGGGATTTCTGTTAGGGCATCGAGATTATAAAGCAGCGGCAGCGTTGACGAACGGTTACTGGTCGGTGTACGGTCTACCGATCGGCCAGCATCCCCATGTCGGCGTCGGCCATGTAATTATTTATCGAGCGGTCTACTGTGAACCCTGTACGTGGAATGTGGCGGACCAATGCAAGCTGTACTGAGTCCCATTGGCGGTGTTTATCCTATGAGCTTCGCAGGCGTCAAGCTCGAATTCCCTCGCGAATGCCTCTAACTCGGCGACAACCTCCGCCAGTTCCAGTTGCGCTTTAATGTCGGCGTCGACCATATCGGAAGGGAAAACAACACCGACGACAACTTGTGGTCGGCGGCCGATTCTGCTATACGCGTGAAGGTAGAAAGTGAGGAGGGCAAACTAAGAGCCAGATAGAGGAAGGAACGAACACGGAGTAGCATGCAGAAAGAGCGACCCTCACTGTGGACACGGATGGGTATGGTCGTGAGCGACTCCGCACCTGTTGCGCTCCACGCAAACCCCTGTGCAGGTCGCCGCTATGCGTGTACCCTCGTGTGGGGGTGCCGTGTCCGACGTGCCACAAGCCATGCTTGGCTGTTGGCTAACCGCGCTTCGCCCATCGAGCTATGCATGGCTGTGACACGCTGGCTTGTGCGTGCGCTACTTGGCGTGGACCCAAACATGGCGCCTGGCTCCTTGAATTCCGTGATGGAAGGGCGCAAGGTAGTGCCGCGTGGCACCCTGACGATCCCGTGGCCTGGTCGACGCCGACATGCTCACTGCCAGGAGATTCGTTGCACATAGACGGTGAATTTGGACGGTCGGATGCCGCGTTTAGCCTCTGTCGGCAACCGTGGGATGGAGGCCGCGTGGTACGCACCAACCAGATCTCGTTCTGGCGCGAGTTTTTCTCGCCGCAAGCATACCCAAAAAAAAACCCATCTTTATAATATCGAGGAACTTGTAAGAAGGACAAAAAATCACGGCACGCCAAACTACCAGGCGGCCAATCAACACGCGCTTGTCTCAAAGTAGCGCGGCCAATCAGGACACACTTGTCTTAGAGTATCGCGGCCAATCAGCGCGCGCTTGTCTCAGAGTAGCGTGGCCAATCAGCATGCGCCTGCGAAATGGTTAGCAAACATGTGCACTTCTCACGGTATCTCGTAGTGTTTCCAATCCCTCCCAGCCATTCATCTACCCATTTGAAATGAGACGATGCCAATTGTCACATGCAAGAAAGCAAGCTTTCTAAATTTGTTTCTTTTTGTGAACACCTGCGCATAGTGGCCCTTTCGGTGTTTTTGGGGGCCCTCATTCTTTGTTGAGGCAGCGTCGCAACGCAACGAAGCAGCACGAATCGCTGCGACACGAAACGCAGCGCGACGAGACGCAGCGCAACAAAACGTTGCGCGACGAGACGAGGCGCGACGTTGAACGAGGCGAGCAGCTTCGGCGACATGGCAACGGCGTGCCGCCATGGCTGCAAGTATTTAGTAGCTACAACGACTGACACGGAGAACGCGACCATCAACGCTCGCTACGACTAGTACTACGGTATGCGTGTGTTGTCAGAACGTGCACATAACATTACCATCGGAACCCTCATTTTCCACTGCCTATGCCCCATATTCCATCGTAATGGCGACTAATTGCCCGCAGGCGTGACTTGGCCGTTCGTGGCGTGTCTTGAGTTATGTTTGGTTTTTGGTGTGACCCAGTGCTGATGGTGCTTCTTTGTGCACGTACGGTAAGTCCTAAATTGCGCACCTGGTTGTCAAGTTTTTGGGGGAGTGTTGGATTGCCTGGTTGCGATTTCAATTGTGTGTCGCGCGGACTTCTGTTCTCTAGAAACTTGGTAACCCGTCAGCAACTGGGCCCCAAGTTTTGAAAACTTGAAGCGCGCGGCTTGCAACCTGGGCTACGGGCTTTAAGCCACACAGCACTATCCCCTGTTAGAATCTAGCAGCAGGAATGATGAACTAGCAGCATGCATGAGTACAAGTAGTAAACCCTAATTGGGTTGTACCCCATATGGGCTATCCCACTACAGCCTAGACAATATGCAGCATAAGACCTGAGAAGGTAGGGCAGGCAGAGACCTGGGAAGACCAGAAACCAGGGAGCGAGAGTGCATGCTACGAAGGCGAGGCAGGGAGGGGTGACCAAGGCGGTGGTGCCACAGGAGAGTGTCGTGCGACAAAGCGCGACACTCGCAGGGGGCCGCCAGCTGACCAGACACAGACGCAGACGCAGCTACCTGAAGGGACTCAGTGGTGAGTGTGTACAGACTCGAGCCAGGCGCACGGGTAAATGTGGCCAGGTGTCGGCCCGTCCGAGCACACGTACAGTGAGTCACTCGCTGACTCGCAGGAGTGAACTGGTGAACCCCCCCATCCTGGAGGTCAGCTCCACTCACCAAGTTTGTAGAGAACGAGGGGAGGTAAAGACCTGACAGCGAGCCAGACGGGGCGGCCGGACACGGCAGAACCGTGGAGTAGTGGGCAAGGACAGGACCCCCAGAGGGGTCCGCCAGGGAGACTGCAACTGGCCGACTAAGCGGCGTGAGTGTGGTGCAGTCGCGAAAGAAGGAGCGGGAAGCTCCTGAGTCAAGGGTGAAGGTGTGCAAGACCGCAGCAGGCGCAGTACTAGAGAGAGCAGACTCACCAGCACCTGGAGCCGCAGCCTCACCAGCACCTAGAGTAGGAGACGCACTAGCACCTAGAGCAGCAGCCTCACCAGTACCTAGAGCAGGAGACGCACTAGCACCTAGAGCAGTAGCCTCACCAGCACCGAGAGCAGCAGGCTCTATACCTGGGTCAGGCGGTACGCACAGGTAACAGGCACGGTCAGCACTAGTAGGCAATGCATACATGGCAGTGAGAATAGCATCATAGTCAGGAGCAAAGATATCTACCCTCTGTCCAAGCAGCTCCAGCCAGGTGGGGAGCTCAGCCTCGTCGCCAAACACTGTACGCCAGTCGTCGCTCAGACGGGCAAAGCAGCGGGACTGTGTGTGACCAAGCGTCCCGCAAGGCTGACCAACCCGATCACCTGTGCGAATGACGTACTGGCAGCGAACCGTACGCGTAGACCTGCTACACTGAGCGTACCACTCGTGGAGCTGCCGGGACGTAAGTGTCTCGCGTGGACGCCGCTGCAGCTGCAGCTGGCCACTGCCAGACGCTCCCAACTGACCAGCTCCAGGGGGACAGCTACGACGGCTACCGCGACAACCCCAGCTAGTATACCACTCACTAAGCTGCTGGGGCGTGAGAGACTCACGTGAACGTCGCTGGAGCTGCATCTGGCCACCTGCCAGTAGCAGTAGCAGCAGCAGTAGCGCGGGCAAGGCAGGCGCGGCAGGCCGACAGGCAGGCAGGCCGGCAGGCAGACAGGCAGGCAGGCAGGCAGACAGACAGGCAGGCCGGCAGGCAGGCAGGCAGGCAGGCAAGCAGGCAGGCAGGCCGGCAGGCAGGCAGGCAGACAGGCAGGCCGGCAGGCAGGCAGGCAGGCAGGCGCTCACCAAAGGCTGGAAGAGCAGGCGCTCGCCGGGCGAGCAGGGCCGGCGCTCGACGGGCGGCGGCCGAGTAGGCGTAGACAGCGGCGACGTCGGGGCCGCAACACCGGCTGCAGAGTAGGGCCGAAGCAGCTGCAGGGCGGGGCCGCTTCAGCGGCAGTTGCAGGGTGGGGCCGCGTCAGCGGCAGGTCGGGGCCGTGGCAGCTGCAGGGCGGGGCCGCATCAGCGGCAGGTCGGGGCCGAGGCAGAGGGACGCGCGCGGCTCGGCGCGGGCTGCGCTGACAGCGCGCTGGGCTGCTGCAGGCCGCGCGCGGCCGCGCTAGGCAGTAGCGGGCCGCGCGCGGCTCGGCGCGGGCTGTTGCGGGCCGCGCGCGGGCCGCGCGAGGCAGTAGCAGGCCGCGCGCGGCTCGGCGCGGGCTGCGTGGGCCGCGCGCAGGCCTCGCAAGGCAGTAGCAGGCCGCGCGCGGCTCGACGCGGGCTGCGTGGGCTCGGCGCGGGCTGCGCGCGGCAGCAGCGGGCTGCGCGCGGCTCGGTGCGGGCTGCGCGTGGCTGCAGCGGGCTGCGCGCGGCTCGGTGCGGGCTGCGCGCGGCTGCAGCGGGCTGCGCGCGGCTCGGTGCGGGCTGCGCGGGCTCGGTGCGGGCAGCGCGCGGCAGCAGCGGGCTGCGCGCGGCTCGGCGCGGGCTGTTCGCGGGCCTGAAGGGCGTGTAGGGGCGGCGCGCGGGCCTTACGGGCCTCTAGGGGCAGCGCGCTGGCCTAGGGCAGCAGGAGGCAGCGCTAGGGCTGCTGGACGGCGCACGTAGTGCAGCACGTCACAAGGCAAGGCAAGGCAGGCAGGTACGTGGGGTAGCGCGGTAACCGCAGCGGTAGGTGGGCCCGAAAAAAAAACGGTCCTACGGACCTTAGTGCTCTGAAACCATGTTAGAATCTAGCAGCAGGAATGATGAACTAGCAGCATGCAGGAGTACAAGTAGTAAACCCTAATTGGGTTGTACCCCATATGGGCTACCCCACTACAGCCTAGACAATGTGCAGCATATATGTTTGACATCCCCTTCCTTCACACCTTTCCACTTTATAGTTAGCTCGAGCTAAAACATTCTCTATACTTTCTGGAATCTGGAGCTGACCCTTATATCCCCTAGTGGTGAGCTCTGTGAGGCGGCTAAAGCCTGCCAGGTACTCAGGAAGCGACTTTATCTGCTCACAGTGAATCAACCTCAACTTCCTGATGCGATTGAAGCACGCAAAGCTCTTGGGCAAGCATGTCAACCTTGACTCGTGAATCTCCAAAGTCCTCAGCTTGGGCGGGCAGGTGATATTTCCGGTCCATCCCCGCTTAACTCCCATATTGGACAGCCTTAGAAAGCGCAGTGAAGTGAACGAAGAGAGGCATTCCAAGGTCCTGGATGATGCGAGAAGAGGGTTGAGGATCAGAATTTCAAGCCTTGGCATCACTGGAATTGGAAATTTGCTGCGTGGCTGATCCACTTGGATGAAAGTCAGGCTCGGGTGCGCAGTCAGCCGAGTCTCGTTACCAGGCCCGGCCCTCTGTAGCATATGCCTCAGGTTCGGCAGAGCCCCAACCTGAGCCGTGGAGTCTATGGCTTGGAAGACCCTGAGGTTTGGAAAGAGGCAATCTGAGTCTGGTACTGGTGGGCAGCGGACGTTCACAAGCTTAAGCTGTGTGATTGTAGAGGAGGCCCAGGGGGACAGGCTTTGCTCGTTATTAGTACTTCCATGCAGAGTCAAGGACTGTAGAGCCGGAGGGAGAAACGGGCGAGGATTCTGGGCTTGTTCCTGGTCTTGTTGTTCTTGTTGACCAAGCTGACCTGCTGCTGCTGCTGCTGCTGCTGCTGCTGCTGCTGCTGCTGCTGCTGCTGCTGCTGCTGCTGCTGCTGCTGCTGCTGCTGCTGCTGCTGCTGCTGCTGCTGCTGCTGCTGCTGCTCCTGCTGCTGCTGCTGCTGCTGCTGCTGCTGCTCCTGCTCCTGCTGCTGCTCCTGCTGCTGCTGCTGCTGCTGCTGCTGCTGCTGCTGCTGCTGCTGCTGCTGCTGCTGCTGCTGCTGCTGCTGCTGCTGCTGCTGCTGCTGCTGCTGCTGCTGCTGCTGCTGCTGCTGCTGCTGCTGCGCTGCTGCTGCTGCTGCTGCTGCTGCTGCTGCTGCTGCTGCTGCTGCTGCTGCTGCTGCTGCTGCTGCTGCTGCTGCTGCTGCTGCTGCTGCTGCTGCTGCTGCTGCTGCTGCTGCTGCTGCTGCTGCTGCTGCTGCTGCTGCTGCTGCTGCTGCTGCTGCTGCTGCTGCTGCTGCTGCTGCTGCTGCTGCTGCTGCTGCTGCTGCTGCTGCTGCTGCTGCTGCTGCTGCTGCTGCTGCTGCTGCTGCTGCTGCTGCTGCTGCTGCTGCTGCTGCTGCTGCTGCTGCTGCTGCTGCTGCTGCTGCTGCTGCTGCTGCTGCTGCTGCTGCTGCTGCTGCTGCTGCTGCTGCTGCTGCTGCTGCTGCTGCTGCTGCTGCTGCTGCTGCTGCTGCTGCTGCTGCTGCTGCTGCTGCTGCTGCTGCTGCTGCTGCTGCTGCTGCTGCTGCTGCTGCTGCTGCTGCTGCTGCTGCTGCTGCTGCTGCTGCTGCTGCTGCTGCTGCTGCTGCTGCTGCTGCTGCTGCTGCTGCTGCTGCTGCTGCTGCTGCTGCTGCTGCTGCTGCTGCTGCTGCTGCTGCTGCTGCTGCTGCTGCTGCTGCTGCTGCTGCTGCTGCTGCTGCTGCTGCTGCTGCTGCTGCTGCTGCTGCTGCTGCTGCTGCTGCTGCTGCTGCTGCTGCTGTGCTGCTGCTGCTGCTGCTGCTGCTGCTGCTGCTGCTGCTGCTGCTGCTGCTGCTGCTGCTGCTGCTGCTGCTGCTGCTGCTGCTGCTGCTGCTGCTGCTGCTGCTGCTGCTGCTGCTGCTGCTGCTGCTGCTGCTGCTGCTGCTGCTGCTGCTGCTGCTGCTGCTGCTGCTGCTGCTGCTGTGCTGCTGCTGCTGCTGCTGCTGCTGCTGCTGCTGCTGCTGCTGCTGCTGCTGCTGCTGCTGCTGCTGCTGCTGCTGCTGCTGCTGCTGCTGCTGCTGCTGCTGCTGCTGCTGCTGCTGCTGCTGCTGCTGCTGCTGCTGCTGCTGCTGCTGCTGCTGCTGCTGCTGCTGCTGCTGCTGCTGCTGCTGCTGCTGCTGCTGCTGCTGCTGCTGCTGCTGCTGCTGCTGCTGCTGCTGCTGCTGCTGCTGCTGCTGCTGCTGCTGCTGCTGCTGCTGCTGCTGCTGCTGCTGCTGCTGCTGCTGCTGCTGCTGCTGCTGCTGCTGCTGCTGCTGCTGCTGCTGCTGCTGCTGCTGCTGCTGCTGCTGCTGCTGCTGCTGCTGCTGCTGCTGCTGCTGCTGCTGCTGCTGCTGCTGCTGCTGCTGCTGCTGCTGCTGCTGCTGCTGCTGCTGCTGTGCTGCTGCTGCTGCTGCTGCTGCTGCTGCTGCTGCTGCTGCTGCTGCTGCTGCTGCTGCTGCTGCTGCTGCTGCTGCTGCTGCTGCTGCTGCTGCTGCTGCTGCTGCTGCTGCTGCTGCTGCTGCTGCTGCTGCTGCTGCTGCTGCTGCTGCTGCTGCTGCTGCTGCTGCTGCTGCTGCTGCTGCTGCTGCTGCTGCTGCTGCTGCTGCTGCTGCTGCTGCTGCTGCTGCTGCTGCTGCTGCTGCTGCTGCTGCTGCTGCTGCTGCTGCTGCTGCTGCTGCTGCTGCTGCTGCTGCTGCTGCTGCTGCTGCTGCTGCTGCTGCTGCTGCTGCTGCTGCTGCTGCTGCTGCTGCTGCTGCTGCTGCTGCTGCTGCTGCTGCTGCTGCTGCTGCTGCTGCTGCTGCTGCTGCTGCTGCTGCTGCTGCTGCTGCTGCTGCTGCTGCTGCTGCTGCTGCTGCTGCTGCTGCTGCTGCTGCTGCTGCTGCTGCTGCTGCTGCTGCTGCTGCTGCTGCTGCTGCTGCTGCTGCTGCTGCTGCTGCTGCTGCTGCTGCTGCTGCTGCTGCTGCTGCTGCTGCTGCTGCTGCTGCTGCTGCTGCTGCTGCTGCTGCTGCTGCTGCTGCTGCTGCTGCTGCTGCTGCTGCTGCTGCTGCTGCTGCTGCTGCTGCTGCTGCTGCTGCTGTGCTGCTGCTGCTGCTGCTGCTGCTGCTGCTGCTGCTGCTGCTGCTGCTGCTGCTGCTGCTGCTGCTGCTGCTGCTGCTGCTGCTGCTGCTGCTGCTGCTGCTGCTGCTGCTGCTGCTGCTGCTGCTGCTGCTGCTGCTGCTGCTGCTGCTGCTGCTGCTGCTGCTGCTGCTGCTGCTGCTGCTGCTGCTGCTGCTGCTGCTGCTGCTGCTGCTGCTGCTGCTGCTGCTGCTGCTGCTGCTGCTGCTGCTGCTGCTGCTGCTGCTGCTGCTGCTGCTGCTGCTGCTGCTGCTGCTGCTGCTGCTGCTGCTGCTGCTGCTGCTGCTGCTGCTGCTGCTGCTGCTGCTGCTGCTGCTGCTGCTGCTGCTGCTGCTGCTGCTGCTGCTGCTGCTGCTGCTGCTGCTGCTGCTGCTGCTGCTGCTGCTGCTGCTGCTGCTGCTGCTGCTGCTGCTGCTGCTGCTGCTGCTGCTGCTGCTGCTGCTGCTGCTGCTGCTGCTGCTGCTGCTGCTGCTGCTGCTGCTGCTGCTGCTGCTGCTGCTGCTGCTGCTGCTGCTGCTGCTGCTGCTGCTGCTGCTGCTGCTGCTGCTGCTGCTGCTGCTGCTGCTGCTGCTGCTGCTGCTGCTGCTGCTGCTGCTGCTGCTGCTGCTGCTGCTGCTGCTGCTGCTGCTGCTGCTGCTGCTGCTGCTGTGCTGCTGCTGCTGCTGCTGCTGCTGCTGCTGCTGCTGCTGCTGCTGCTGCTGCTGCTGCTGCTGCTGCTGCTGCTGCTGCTGCTGCTGCTGCTGCTGCTGCTGCTGCTGCTGCTGCTGCTGCTGCTGCTGCTGCTGCTGCTGCTGCTGCTGCTGCTGCTGCTGCTGCTGCTGCTGCTGCTGCTGCTGCTGCTGCTGCTGCTGCTGCTGCTGCTGCTGCTGCTGCTGCTGCTGCTGCTGCTGCTGCTGCTGTGCTGCTGCTGCTGCTGCTGCTGCTGCTGCTGCTGCTGCTGCTGCTGCTGCTGCTGCTGCTGCTGCTGCTGCTGCTGCTGCTGCTGCTGCTGCTGCTGCTGCTGCTGCTGCTGCTGCTGCTGCTGCTGCTGCTGCTGCTGCTGCTGCTGCTGCTGCTGCTGCTGCTGCTGCTGCTGTGCTGCTGCTGCTGCTGCTGCTGCTGCTGCTGCTGCTGCTGCTGCTGCTGCTGCTGCTGCTGCTGCTGCTGCTGCTGCTGCTGCTGCTGCTGTGCTGCTGCTGCTGCTGCTGCTGCTGCTGCTGCTGCTGCTGCTGCTGCTGCTGCTGCTGCTGCTGCTGCTGCTGCTGCTGCTGCTGCTGCTGCTGCTGCTGCTGCTGCTGCTGCTGCTGCTGCTGCTGCTGCTGCTGCTGCTGCTGCTGCTGCTGCTGCTGCTGCTGCTGCTGCTGCTGCTGCTGCTGCTGCTGCTGCTGCTGCTGCTGCTGCTGCTGCTGCTGCTGCTGCTGCTGCTGCTGCTGCTGCTGCTGCTGCTGCTGCTGCTGCTGCTGCTGCTGCTGCTGCTGCTGCTGCTGCTGCTGCTGCTGCTGCTGCTGCTGCTGCTGCTGCTGCTGCTGCTGCTGCTGCTGCTGCTGCTGCTGCTGCTGCTGCTGCTGCTGCTGCTGCTGCTGCTGCTGCTGCTGCTGCTGCTGCTGCTGCTGCTGCTGCTGCTGCTGCTGCTGCTGCTGCTGCTGCTGCTGCTGCTGCTGCTGCTGCTGCTGCTGCTGCTGCTGCTGCTGCTGCTGCTGCTGCTGCTGCTGCTGCTGCTGCTGCTGCTGCTGCTGCTGCTGCTGCTGCTGCTGCTGCTGCTGCTGCTGCTGCTGCTGCTGCTGCTGCTGCTGCTGCTGCTGCTGCTGCTGCTGCTGCTGCTGCTGCTGCTGCTGCTGCTGCTGCTGCTGCTGCTGCTGCTGCTGCTGCTGCTGCTGCTGCTGCTGCTGCTGCTGCTGCTGCTGCTGCTGCTGCTGCTGCTGCTGCTGCTGCTGCTGCTGCTGCTGCTGCTGCTGCTGCTGCTGCTGCTGCTGCTGCTGCTGCTGCTGCTGCTGCTGCTGCTGCTGCTGCTGCTGCTGCTGCTGCTGCTGCTGCTGCTGCTGCTGCTGCTGCTGCTGCTGCTGCTGCTGCTGCTGCTGCTGCTGCTGCTGCTGCTGCTGCTGCTGCTGCTGCTGCTGCTGCTGCTGCTGCTGCTGCTGCTGCTGCTGCTGCTGCTGCTGCTGCTGCTGCTGCTGCTGCTGCTGCTGCTGCTGCTGCTGCTGCTGCTGCTGCTGCTGCTGCTGCTGCTGCTGCTGCTGCTGCTGCTGCTGCTGCTGCTGCTGCTGCTGCTGCTGCTGCTGCTGCTGCTGCTGCTGCTGCTGCTGCTGCTGCTGCTGCTGCTGCTGCTGCTGCTGCTGCTGCTGCTGCTGCTGCTGCTGCTGCTGCTGCTGCTGCTGCTGCTGCTGCTGCTGCTGCTGCTGCTGCTGCTGCTGCTGCTGCTGCTGCTGCTGCTGCTGCTGCTGCTGCTGCTGCTGCTGCTGCTGCTGCTGCTGCTGCTGCTGCTGCTGCTGCTGCTGCTGCTGCTGCTGCTGCTGCTGCTGCTGCTGCTGCTGCTGCTGCTGCTGCTGCTGCTGCTGCTGCTGCTGCTGCTGCTGCTGCTGCTGCTGCTGCTGCTGCTGCTGCTGCTGCTGCTGCTGCTGCTGCTGCTGCTGCTGCTGCTGCTGCTGCTGCTGCTGCTGCTGCTGCTGCTGCTGCTGCTGCTGCTGCTGCTGCTGCTGCTGCTGCTGCTGCTGCTGCTGCTGCTGCTGCTGCTGCTGCTGCTGCTGCTGCTGCTGCTGCTGCTGCTGCTGCTGCTGCTGCTGCTGCTGCTGCTGCTGCTGCTGCTGCTGCTGCTGCTGCTGCTGCTGCTGCTGCTGCTGCTGCTGCTGCTGCTGCTGCTGCTGCTGCTGCTGCTGCTGCTGCTGCTGCTGCTGCTGCTGCTGCTGCTGCTGCTGCTGCTGCTGCTGCTGCTGCTGCTGCTGCTGCTGCTGCTGCTGCTGCTGCTGCTGCTGCTGCTGCTGCTGCTGCTGCTGCTGCTGCTGCTGCTGCTGCTGCTGCTGCTGCTGCTGCTGCTGCTGCTGCTGCTGCTGCTGCTGCTGCTGCTGCTGCTGCTGCTGCTGCTGCTGCTGCTGCTGCTGCTGCTGCTGTGCTGCTGCTGCTGCTGCTGCTGCTGCTGCTGCTGCTGCTGCTGCTGCTGCTGCTGCTGCTGCTGCTGCTGCTGCTGCTGCTGCTGCTGCTGCTGCTGCTGCTGCTGCTGCTGCTGCTGCTGCTGCTGCTGCTGCTGCTGCTGCTGCTGCTGCTGCTGCTGCTGCTGCTGCTGCTGCTGCTGCTGCTGCTGCTGCTGCTGCTGCTGCTGCTGCTGCTGCTGCTGCTGCTGCTGCTGCTGCTGCTGCTGCTGCTGCTGCTGCTGCTGCTGCTGCTGCTGCTGCTGCTGCTGCTGCTGCTGCTGCTGCTGCTGCTGCTGCTGCTGCTGCTGCTGCTGCTGCTGCTGCTGCTGCTGCTGCTGCTGCTGCTGCTGCTGCTGCTGCTGCTGCTGCTGCTGCTGCTGCTGCTGCTGCTGCTGCTGCTGCTGCTGCTGCTGCTGCTGCTGCTGCTGCTGCTGCTGCTGCTGCTGCTGCTGCTGCTGCTGCTGCTGCTGCTGCTGCTGCTGTGCTGCTGCTGCTGCTGCTGCTGCTGCTGCTGCTGCTGCTGCTGCTGCTGCTGCTGCTGCTGCTGCTGCTGCTGCTGCTGCTGCTGCTGCTGCTGCTGCTGCTGCTGCTGCTGCTGCTGCTGCTGCTGCTGCTGCTGCTGCTGCTGCTGCTGCTGCTGCTGCTGCTGCTGCTGCTGCTGCTGCTGCTGCTGCTGCTGCTGCTGCTGCTGCTGCTGCTGCTGCTGCTGCTGCTGCTGCTGCTGCTGCTGCTGCTGCTGCTGCTGCTGCTGCTGCTGCTGCTGCTGCTGCTGCTGCTGCTGCTGCTGCTGCTGCTGCTGCTGCTGCTGCTGCTGCTGCTGCTGCTGCTGCTGCTGCTGCTGCTGCTGCTGCTGCTGCTGCTGCTGCTGCTGCTGCTGCTGCTGCTGCTGCTGCTGCTGCTGCTGCTGCTGCTGCTGCTGCTGCTGCTGCTGCTGCTGCTGCTGCTGCTGCTGCTGCTGCTGCTGCTGCTGCTGCTGCTGCTGCTGCTGCTGCTGCTGCTGCTGCTGCTGCTGCTGCTGCTGCTGCTGCTGCTGCTGCTGCTGCTGCTGCTGCTGCTGCTGCTGCTGCTGCTGCTGCTGCTGCTGCTGCTGCTGCTGCTGCTGCTGCTGCTGCTGCTGCTGCTGCCGTTCCCCAAACCCTCCCACTTCTACGTCAGAAATGCACAGGTCTTTTAGGGATGTCAGATGCCACAGTCCCACCCCAGGCCTGGAGCTCAGGCTCGGAGCAGCCAGGGGCATGTGGAGCCGCGTCAGGCTCGGCAGGTGGCTGAGGGATGGCGGAGGGGTCAACCATCTGTCCGAAGTGAGGGTCAACGAAGTCAACTGCTTCAAGCCCGCAAATCGCGGCTCGTCCAAATTCCTACCCCCCTCGTTGCCCACGTTCGCCACGTCAGCAGCTGCGGTTGTAACAGCCCCAGCCCCAGCAGCAGCAGCAGCAGCAGCAGCCTCGTTAAAGCCCATCACTCGCAACGCGGTTCGCCTCTCCAGCTGCACGGCTCTAGCTCGCCTCTCCTGCCGTCTCGCTGCTGCTCTGCTGCTCCACAGATCCGTCTCCAGTTCCCCCAGCCGCTCCAGCCCCCATATGGAATCCGGGAGCAATCTTATAACGTTATTGGGCTGTCTGATAACGGGTACAAATGACAAGCTGCCATCGAGATTGCGTGAGCCGATCTGAAGGTTGAGTGTCAGCTTGTTGAGCGAATGTTCCAAGCCAAGAAACAGGTCTGGCGAGAGGCTTGGCGCCTGGTCCTCGGAGCTGGGCCTGAGCTCGTCGTGATAACACGATATGCGAAGCTCTTGTAATGCGCGCAGTCGCGAAAACGGAGCGGGGGCGGCGAAAAACGACTCGTTCTCACAGGCCACGTGAAGATGGAGTGAGCGGAGGTGAGGGAACGTTGAGGTGAAGGAGGTGGGTGTGAATGAGGCGGACAGGGCACGATGCAGAGGAAGAGAAAGATGGGATAGCCGCTGCCGCCGATGCTTCGAGCCTGGTAGCAATTCTGTGAGTAGGGGTAACTCCGACGAGCCTGCCGAACCTCCCGAGAATGCTTCGTCTGCCGAGCCAGCGGAGGAAGAGATTGCGGTTACCAAATCAGGCAAATCGTCAGGCAGGCCGAATTGAAGCATGTCCGTTTGCACGTGAAACGACTCGAGGCGCGGGCAGGAATCCATAATATTTACGAGGCCTTCGGTAAGGATGGCGTTAAATGCGCTGAGATTCGTACGGGTTCGGAAGGAGAAGTTTCGGGGAAATCGGATTTGAATCCGGCAAGAGCGGAGCGAGCGACACGTGGCGACCGCGGCTAAGGCTTCACGCAGACACTCGTTTTGGAAAGTATCCTGCTGGCCAGAAAACTGATCTATGAAGATCGGGATATTGACGGTCGCCAGGTTCGGAAATCGTCTAATCAAGGCGCCAATCCGCTTTCCGTCGGGAGAAACAATCGCGGAGTCGAGCTGTCGAAAGCTCTGCGACAATATAAGATCCGATGCTAGCGCCGGGGTGAACCAGGGGTTCTTGCTTGTGAAGCGTACGTGCTGTGGCATGCACAGTGGCGGGTCGTCCAGAATCCATAGCGTTTCTATTCCCGGATGCCACCCTGTAAAGAAACTGCAGTTGCTGACGTCACGAAAACAAGGCTCCCAACGCGCGGTCCGCAAGTCGTAAACAACAGAAAAGTCGCGGGTTCGATTCTCGAAGACGTCACGCCACTCCTTGCAGACCGTGCTAGCTGCGTGCGCGTCTTCGGGTCGTTGCAGCAGTCGGAAAACGTTATCGAGAACGTCAGCGGTAATCGTTACAAAATCCGCGGGTGCAGTCGCTTTTTGGGTACGGCAGCTGTTTCCAGGGAGTGAGTCCAGCGAAGATGGGAAAATGGGCCGCAGCGATTCTGTTTCCACTGGAGAATTTGCTGTTTCCTGCTGATGCTGCTGCTGCTGCTGGCAATTCGAGCCTATATTGGTGAACGCAGACGGCCATTGCTCCAAATTGAATGTGCGAACGTTTGGGAACGAGTCTGATCGGATTACCCGAGAGTCTTGTGCCGTATCTGTTTGGACATTCGCTTCTGTTTGAACCGTGATTGCTGTTTCAGAAGTGTTTTCTCCTGTGGGATAATCGACCTGCTGCTGAGGAAATTCTGTTGCTGATGCTGCTGCGGAAAATGCGCTCTGTACGTCAGCGTTCTCACGCAAAACCCCAGTCATAGCCATTCTCGGTTGTGCACGCACAAGCACCCAGCGCAGGTGTCAGAGAGAAAAGAAACTCTTCCACCAATAATGGTTGCAGGCAATCACGCAAGGAACGAGAACGTGGCTTGCAGGTGGTGATGGGGTTCGGCATGGGCTGTTTCAGACAAGAAGAATCGATTCGTAGGCGATGGCAATTCGCAACTAACTGATTTGGAATGGGCCGCAAAATGCGAGGGTATGTAATCCACGCGGCTCGGCGAAAATGGATTGCGTGTCACGCACGCCTGGTTGGTTGACGCCTGATTTCTTGCGTGGTCGAGTGGCGAAGACTGGCGAGCTATAAACACTCAACCAACGGGGTTGTGGGTTTTTCGTGACAGCTCAGGTCATCCTCCATTTCGCTTTGCGATGAACCAACAAAGTGTAGTTTTAGACGCTACAGTCAGCATACAAGGGCGACTCGCGCTGCACAGCCTCTCAGTGCGGTCGATTTCGGTTCGTCACGGTGAAAAACGATAATTTTAAAGAGCTGCTTTCCACCGTGCGCAATTGCCGTGGGGTTGAATTGGGTGGAACATTAGCGGGAACCGTCACGGCGGCAGTCACGGCGACAGACAATCGGATCGCGCGCTGTCTCACCCGCAAACGCCGTCATGCGCTCCGGCCGTTTGCATAGTAGTGCTGCACTGTCGCTACGGGCCAACATCATAAACATGCAAATTAGTATGGTAACCCTATTCGATTGTATGCAAAACCGTCGATACCCCAGTTCTGCTGCGCAAGTTTGTCTGGTTCCGCCACTCAAAACACTGTGTAACAGCTGACGCAGCACATTTTAGGGCGAAATTTTTGCAGTAATCGATTGCGTTTTTTATTTCGAATCTGTGGTTTGTACCACGCCTCGTCTGGCGCCTAACAACAATTCGTTCGGGCAACTATTTCCCACTAAATGTGCACGATACATTTAGCGGGAAAATTCTGTTAAAATGAAAGTATACGTGGTCAATTTTGTAATGATATATTGCAGACGACGCCACCGAGAATTGTTAGGGCAGGGCAGAAACAAAATAAAACCCTTAGAGACCTCGACGCATTTCCAAGAGGGATCAACCCTAAACACGGGAAAGGACATTGTTTTTAGGGTTGATGCCTCCCCGAGTCGCATCCCTTTCCGATTGGGTTTTATTTTTTTTCTTTGGGTTAGTTGTAATGAACAGTAGTGCGCATCTGGCAGAACAGTCGCCCGAAGAAATCATAGTTTAGCGAAAAGTCAAACGCGGTTAAAACAAAGTATTTTGTACTTTTTTAACGCGTAACTAGGGCAGTATGTCATTACCTCCAATACTGAGGTATCGACGGTTTTGCATACAATTGCATAGGGTTACCATACTATTTTGCATGTCTATGATGTTGGCCCCTGTCGCTACACTGAGTTGCGGTCTCGATGACGTGGCAGTGCGATGTGCGCGCATCGCCATTCGACGACCGCATTCGTTGCGGCAGGTGCGGCGTCGTCATTTACTGTACCAGGCAACACCATTTGTGTGCCGTAGCAGTGCGCGCTGTTGCGGGGAGAGACGAAGGAGTAGGCAACGACGAGTGTCGGCTAGCCGCAACAGCGCGACATGGCTTGCACGCATCTCATGCGCGCTCCTGATGCGCGTAGTTGCGCGCCATCTGTCGCCCTACATCCCAAAATTGTCGAGCCCCCAAAAGTTCTCGCGTTCAAGTTAGTTTAGCGAAGTAATTTTGGCGGGGCAATTGAGTCTGGTGCTGCTCTGGAACTGTACCAAATTTTGGAGCGTTGCTTCAGTCCCACCGTAGGCAAGGCAAGCTTGGATTAGCGCGTGCGTAGTGGCACTCTCTCTCATTGGTGGTAGGCAAGGCCACCGCTGTATGCACCTGTATTGGTGAGTGGAGAAAAACAGAGGGTTGCCACTTAGTACTGATGCTTGCACTTGACTCGACCTCCCCCTCCCCGCCCCCAAGTGCAGGGTTCATTACGACGAGAACACGACCACCCATGAGGCTCTTAACACGGAGAATATGCTTACATATAGGTTTGGATGCTGTGACCTGCTTCAGCAAGGATTGCCTGGAACTGCTCCATTCCTTCTGGATGGCACCTCACGTAGCTATTCCAAAGCTCCTCCCCACGACTTCTGGGTTGTCCATATGGTGCTGCTACGGTTTTGTGGCTCGCATTCAGCACTGGGGTTCTGATCTGATCGGCGTGTTCGTTGGGAGGAAGTGAAGTAGAGAGAGATGGTGGGGGGGTGGGATTGCATAAGTGTTTAATACAATAAGATGAGGTTCAGAGACAGAGAAGGGTAGGTACAGCGAGAGAGGGAGGGCCTGGGGCGAGGTAGGGCGAGGCGAGCAGAGAGTATGACGTCCGTTACACTTGATATGAGCAACCAATGTTTGCAAAAAAAGGCTCAGCACCGCTCACTGCCGCTTTGAATCTTTCAGGAGTGCTCGGCACCACTCGGCACATCTCTGAACCGCTCATCACCGCTCGTCCCTGCTCATCCCCGCTCGTCACCACTCAAGGGCGCCAAGCACCACCAGGGAGCGAGATAAAGGAAAAAATGGAGAGGAAAAACAGAGATAGAATGTGAGGGAGGGATAGAGGTAAAAACAGAGACCCTAAACAGTGAATGTGGAGGGAAAGGGAGAGAGAGAGAGAGAAAGAGAGAGAGACAGAGAGAGTGAGTGAGTGAGAGAGAGAGAGAGATGGACAGAGAGAGGGGGTGAGCCTTTTCCCCTGACGTCGCTCCCGCCCCCACCCAGCCCCAGCATTCCCCACCTTATCCCACTTTCCCATCCTCCTTGATGCTGGTTAAACCCCCGACCCTTCGCACTGAGGCACCTCCTGGCGGTCCGGGCTGCTTGAGCTTGGATTCAGGCAGGATACCCTTGAACCCCCACGTTCTGACTCCAGCACCCGGATCTCCCCCCAACTACACCCCTGCTCGGCATGAATTCGGTCATTGCTGCCCTAGTTGCCGCATTAGGCAATCACAGTACCAGGATCACACACATACGTATTGTCCTTTCAAGATGCTGTTGATTCTGGGATTTATAGACTTGGGGATAATGCATTATGGCAACTCATACCGCATAACCAACTATGCACTTACCCGTGCAGTACAAAATTACTATAGCTCCGTGGACATTGTAGTGAAACAAAAAATGTTTCCCATACAATTAGGCCTTTGCCCCTCCCCATAGCCCCAGATTTCCTAGCTGAGCACGATTTGCATGCTTTTACTCAAGTACTTACGTTGTTACACACCTTCTGGAGTGGTTCTACCATGGACGCTCAATGAGGCAAAAATGGCGACAGTGTGGTACATGGAATGCACTGTGGTAGTAATTGCCAGATAGGCTGTTATGATAGGGTTCAGCAAAAATGGTGACAATGGCGCAGGAAAGAAGAATTGGGAAGATTGTGGGCATGTGCTTACCTTCACCAAATAGGGTCAGAAATGTGCGGAATCACTATGCCATCACAGCAATGTGCTTACCTTCACCATGTCAACGGGAGTTGTATTTGGCCCCGTCCTCGCTTGGGCGGAGCCGACCTCGTGGTCGGGTGTGCGGGGGACGCCCCGACCTGCAGCAGTGGGCGAGCTGGTCGACGAGGTTGGTCGACCTGCACGGGGGCCACTGCGAGGGCACCGACTTCTGAGGGCGCGAGTTAGGGGTGGTCGACCTGGTGAGGACGACCTGGCAAGGCGCCGACTTCCGGGCGCCGACCTGCGGTGGCCGGCGACTTGGCAAAGTCGGCGGCCTATTTCCAAAGTGGTCTATGAGAGGACGCCAACCAGGGGTGACGCCGACATAGCGGTGTCGACCTGGTTGCCCGGTCGACCGTATTGCCTGGGCGACGGAGCATCTGCGGAGGTGTGTGAACGTCGCCGGGGTGGCTTCTGCGAGGCCGACCTCGGAAGTGGTATCCCGAGGTCGACGTGGCT